AATCCAGTGGTCAGGGAATGCTATGCTTAATGGGGAAATGTACATTAAGAATTGTTTTTCAGTAGCTAAGTATGATGATGAAGCCCCGGAGGTACATGGTCATGTTCTTGGACACTCACCAGAGAACCAGAAACGACAAAATGCAATAGGTCCAAGTGTATTCTACAGAGTAGCGATTAGTCAGGATTGCCTCCACAACATCAACATGGGGTTTGCTTGTTTACGTCTGATGATGATTAAGGGCCAAGTAGCCAATTGTGGGTCAGAAAATGCCTATGGTTTGCAGGTCCTTATCAGATATTTAAAGGAATCCTGGTGGTGTATTGGTTACATGTTAGCCCGTGATATGCATGGTCGGCAGTTCAAAACCACCAGCAGCTCCTCGGGAGAGAGACTAGGCTTTCTACTTAGGTAAACAGCTACAGGCTCGGAAACCCACAGGGGGTCGCTACCAGTCAGCATTGACTCTGGACTTGCAGAGTTTGTGTATTTAGACACCCAGGGTGTTTTGGAAAGAGGGTGACACCCTCTTTCAGGACCTACAAGTCTCCTTGAAGAAATGAGAGGTTTATTCTTCATTTTCCTGGCTTCCTTTCTTACTGTGTGAGAGGGTGCTGCCTGCCAGGAAACATTCCCACGGATGCTCACCAAAAGCTGACGATACAACCTCCAAATCCAAACGATACAATAAAGCTTAAACAGAAGCCTCGTGTGCAATAAGCTGCAGATATCTGAGCAGAAAGATGCCCAAGCAAAGCCAAACACTGACCAGGAAACAGGTAGGAAAACTGAGTTTATTCAGGTTGGGAGAAGTTCCTTGGTGGGAACAGATGTTTTCTCATACGAAAGTATATTCTAGTTTTAGCAATATGTATCTACCTGGCAGGGAGGGCTCCCAACAAATTAACCACTCCCCTGTGAGAAAGTTCAATCTATCTCTTTTTAATGTTTTCACTTGTTTCCACCTCCCTGATCCTGCACTTGCTGTAAGCCCAGCAGCTGTGTGCATTTTCCTGGTGCAAAAAACCCACATCACTTTGACTAAAAACAAACAAATGAAAAAATTTCACTACCATTGGACCAATTTCCACTCGTGATTACCCTATAGAGACAGAGTAGAACTTCCCCCATGGGTTCCGGAGACTGGAAGCATTTATAGGATGCTTTTGAACTGCTGACCTTCTGGTTAGCAGCCCAATTCGTAAACCATTATACCACCAAGCATCCTTGCAGCAACTTAAAAAGGGGAAATTTGAAATTCACAGCAGCTTCTTAGCTCTATGTCTCTTTCTTTCACCCTTCCTTGCTCCCTTGGTATCTGTCTTTTTAAAAAAAATCATTTTATTGGGGTACTTGTCTTTGGAATCACTTCTGCTTGTCACCAGCTCTTTTGAAAATGTTGTCTTTTCATCTCGTCCCTCCCTCACCCCACTTTATTCTAAAATCAATTTCCATCTTACTCTGCTCCTGCTTCAGCTGTGGTTCCTCTTGTTCCACTCCCGTAGGATTTCCCCAGCTTCCCAGACAGAATTCCAGGTTCAGAGGCCTCTCCATTCCCTGTTGTTGCTCCGGAAGCTCTGATCCAGCTCCAAACTCCTCCCCACTGTCCAAGGTCCAGCCCTCCAGGATTCCTTTGGGACTGATGCAAGGCTCTAAGGAGCTGCCCCTTTTCCATTGCTGTTCTCAGAGGGAGACTCTGGGGCCAGCAGCGGCTGTGACAGAGGTAGTCCAGCTTCCTGGGATACGCTCAGCTTTCAGGGAGCAACATTCCCTGGCACAGGTGAGCTTTCCAAGTTTCGTTGTAATTGGGCCACGTGGATTTGTGGAGGCTGTTTGTTGATCACCCTGGTAGCTGGCTCTTTACTAACTAACAAGCTCCTCTATCCAAAAGTCCCCTCACACGCACTGGGGAGCTTTTCAAGATGCAGCTGCCGCTCGCATTTTGATCAGTCTGTTTGGGACTTGGAGTTATTGTTGAACAGCTCCCAGAAGGCCTAATGTGCAAACATAGGAGTCCATTAACAAAATCTTCAGAATGCATCGCGATCTATTCTAAGAGCTCAGGGTTCGTTTTGGATCTCTAACAAGGTAGCAGGCAAGCTTCAGGAGCCTTCCACCCTGTCCTCAATTCTCGTTCACCCCAAGACAACAGAAGGCGCCTTTCTGTGCTTGCTCTGGAAGCCACCGGGAGAGCTGGCAGAGTGCATGTGCCTGGTGAATGGCCAAAGAGAGTTGAATGAGAGAAATGAAGACGGCCAGGCCGGCAGCCCCTTTACTGAACTCCGCTGACGAACTGTGAGCCGCTCTGGAGACCCCTGCAAAATAATATGGCTGGGCAATGAACCCCTTCCATGCCCCTTAACTGTCCACTCTACCTTCTGTCTAAGTGTGATCACAGTCCCCTTAGTCACCTTTAGTTTGACACCGTCAGCCTACAGATGGGAAAAGTGAGACCTGGGGCTATCATAACACAACAGACATCCCATAGCTTCATAGACTAGGAGGTAAGGAAAGCCAATTACCTGTCTTGAGGGATCAAAGCTACATGTCTCTGATTCTTGTCAATGTGCAGATCATAGTGTTGGGGCATGCCCCAAAGAAATGGAATTTTATAAGCAAGCAAGCATCGATAAGGGGGAAAAGGTCCCGTGGTGACCCAATGATTTTATGATGGTGCTTGCTCCTATAAAGCCTAACTTTTTGGAACCCATTCAGGGTCAGTCTGTTTTCCTATTTAGGTTACATCCACCTAAAAAACCCTGTAAAGCAATCCTGTTCTATAACACATGGGATCACCTGGAGTTCGAGCCAACACAAAGGCAGCTAATAACAACAGGAGTGAAAAATTGGCAAGCGTCAGTGAAGGAGTGGGTTACCCACTGGATTGCTAACCATGAAGTCAATGGTTCAAATCCATCAGCAGCTGGGAGAAAGATGAGGTGACTCTCACAAAGATTTAATGTTTCAGAAACTCCAAGGGGCAGCTCTACCCTGTCCTAGAAGGTTGCTGTGAACTGGAATCCACTCTAGGGCAGTGCCTTTGGGTTTTCCTCAAAGAAGTGGACAGAGGACTTAATGTCTCTGAGTCGTTCCATAACAGGATAATGTCTGACTTCACAGAGGAGTGGGTTTTAAGCAGCCATGCAGACTTCATGCTTCGTGATGTCTCTGGCATGGGGAGAGTACGTCCCCTAAATGCCAGCATCACTATAACTAGTAGAAGAAGTCTTACAAATTCAGCACCACGGAGCCCTGCCTTTATAATCTAAACAGGCAGCAGGGAGATTGAGCAAATTATGCCTGTTTTTTTGATTAAGGACTCAGTTGATTTTTATTTAAAAACATTTTTCAACTTAAATGTTTAATGAGGTCTTTGGGATACTTGTGCAAAAAAGCTAACCTCCCATTTTAACTCCAAAGTTCACTCCTTAGAAAATAATACTAGCCAAACATGTTATCTTTGACTTTAAAAGTGAAACTAATAGATCAACAGGCAACTAAACTTTTGCTAGCTGAGGCAGCCTGGGAGCTGTTTATGCTGAATAAGCGCTTTAAGATAAACATTCCTTTGACCCTTGGTACTTTTTACAGTACAACATATGTGTAGCAGCTTTTATCTCTTTTGATCTGGAAAAATATGTTATCGATGTAAGAATGCTTTTTAATATATGAAGGTATATTTAAAAAATTGTTTCCTCAAACACCAAAGAAGTATTTACGTGGAGCAATGAGTTATACTACCCACCACTATTACTTCTGTGAGTAATCTGAGAAATATGAGTCCTTAGGTTATTTTTTTCTTTTAAAAGAGAAAGTGTTTTCAGTTTCTTATTGTTAACTTCAGTTAAACCAGCTGCTGGCGCATGGCGACCCCATGCACACAGAACCGGATCAGTCTGGTTGATAGGACTTTGAATGGCAGGACTTTGGGAGAAGTCTCAGTGTGGACGTTTTGTGAAATTGATTCCACATCACAGTAGCATGCCGTCCTCCCTGGTAGATACATGGTGCTTGTGTGTGAAGGCTCCTCCCTGGGAGAGGAGAATTGTACCACTGAACCACCCGCTAAGAAAAATGTGCTGCATGCATAGGAGGCTCTGTTTCTATTTTGTTTTATTTTAGTTAAGAGTCTCCTGGTTTCAAATAACAGAAAGGAATTCTAGGTAGCCTAACTAGGAAAGTAGAATTCAAACTCAGGACCAGAAGGCTACAAGGTCGTAAGAAGATACTAGAATTGGTGAATGAGCAGTCATGGTCTTGAATTTCTGTCCTTGTCTGCTTCATTTGTCTTTTTCGATATGCTTTCATTGTTTCTCAGGTTGACCTAGAGAGTAAAGCCATCCCCAAAACATATCTTCAAAATCTATAGATTAAACATTAAACTACCCATCAAAAGAGAGAACCTTTCATATTTCCTGTTCTATGTTTCTCTGAAAGATTCCTCTCTGGCTGGTAGCACGTCCTGGTCCCTGTCTCCTGCTTCCAGACGGCAAGGTCATGAAGCAGAACCATCGCTTCCGAAGGTTATTACCTTCTTCCTTGGAAATTAAATTCACGCAAATGAAAGATGGTTCTGCATGTTACTCAACAAGTGTGTTTGCATGAAGCGAAAGATGTTTACACTCCAGGGCCCCTTCCGTCATGGGCTCACTCCGTGATCTGAGGGTACCCTAAACAGTGCAGCCACAAGAGCATTTTCTATGACACATTTTTAACTTCTTCACTTTTCAGAAAAAATAAACAAAAAAAGATATTTCCACTGCCACCAAGTTAATACCAACTTATAATAACCCTGTATAGGCTTTCCAAGACTGTAACCTTTTATGGGAACAGATATCTTGGATTTGTCCTAAAAATCAGCTGGTGATTTTTTACTATAAACCTTGCCATTACTGCCCAATCTCTAACCCAGAATTCCATCAGGGCCCCTTTGGACCCTTCAAATTATACAAGCTTAAATATATTCCATAGAGCCTAGATCTGACCCTTTGATATATATGTTTATTTCTCATGATCCCAGAACAGAATTAGGATGTGTTGTTTTATATTAAATGCAGTACATTTGGATCAATAACAAAAATAATTTGGTTAACTAAAAGTCTTTCATTTATTTGTGGTTGTAATTTTTAGCTGTATGTTTGTTTTGTACTTTGTTTATCTTTCCTACCAGAGCACACATTCCAAATATGCAAAAGCTTTTTGTAGCTTGTTCACACAGAAAATACAGAAAACAGGATGCCATTTACATTACTGACGGAGCCCCAATGGGGTAGAGGTTGGACTGCTAACTTCAAGATCAGCAGTTCAAAACCACAAGCCACTCTGCAGGAGAAAGATGGGGCTTTCTAGTCTCCTAAAGAGTTAATCCATAAAAATAGAGGTATTGGCCTATGTAGATATATGCATAAAGCAATGCTGCTCACCCCCCTACCCCACCCCCACCCCGACATGATCCCTGAAGACAAAATGGATGCATAAGCAGATATGGTGAGGACAGAAAGTGGTTCCTGGCTATTAAAAGATATAGCATCTGGGGTCTTAAAGGTTTAAAGTTAAACAAGTGGCCATCCAACAGTGAAGCAACAAGCCCACGTGGAAGAAGCACGCCAGCTGGTGCGATCATGAGGTTTCATCGGGACCAGGCAACAGGCATCAGAAGATTCATAACAAGCAAACAAAAAACAAAAATGCATTGGTGAAAATGAGGGAGGTTGGAGTTGAGACCCAAAGCCCATCTGTGGACAATGGAGGAGCCCCCCACAGAGGGGTCACAGGGAGTCAATCAGGGTGCGGCAGAACACCTATGGATCACACAAGATAACTCTGATCTTTGGAGGCCTCATTACTCCCCACTTTCAAGACCCCAGTGCTGCTTCCCACTCTGGACTGGATGGGAGCATGTACATAGGTATAGGCAAGAGATAAAGCTCACGACACATGGAACCCAGGAACCGGAATGGGAATAGGGACACCAAAAGGGTAGGGGGCAGGGGGGAGAGGTTAGGAGGAAGGGGGGCACCAATCACAATGATTGGCACATAACCACACATCCCCATCCAGGGGGAAGAACAACAGAGACCAGAGGAGAAGGGAGACGATTGTCAGTGTGAGATAGGAAAATAATAACATTCTATAATCTATCAAGGGGCCATGAGGGTTGGGGAGGGGGAAGCAAAGAGAGCTGATCTTGTGGATTTTTTTTTTTTTTTTGAATTTTTTTTTTTTTAAACATTTTATTAGGGGCTCATACAACTGTTATCCCAATCCATACACACTTCAATTGTGTAAA